TTTAAGCCCCCGGGTCCGGGACACTAACCGCGGTCGACTACGTGGGAGTCCAGCGACATAGCCATTACGCTAACTGCTGGTTCCCTTGTTATTATTTTTTAATTTGACCAGAGAGAGAGAGAAAGGGAAAGCAAGAAAACAAGCACCCAGGTTTGGGACTCCAACCATGGTTGGCCATGTGGGAATCCAGTGTCTCAACCACCATGCCACCTGTTGGCCCAATTCCCTTTACTAAAAAAATGTTGAAAGTTTATTATTTATTTCTTCCATGATTGAGAGAGACAGAGGGAGAACACTCCCATCAGGACCTTGACACCATGATCCACCCCCAGCTAGCCCTGGATCATGGGCACATGTGGGAAGTCTCTGGATACAAACCCAGCACCTTCTCATGTGGATCAGTCTCACACAGCATCATGTTTATTGCTGTGCCACCATCCGGTTCCCTTCTTCCATGTTCTTAGTTTTCTCTCCCATTTTCTTTTCTTTTTCTTTTCTTTTCTTTCTTTCTTTTTTTTGAAAGATTTTTGCTATCGGGTGTGTACACATTCTAGGGAGACAGACAGAGAGGCAGAAAGCGAGAAATCATCCCCCATGGGGGGTGGCCATGCCTCAGTCCCTTCTCTACTCTCAGGATTTTGGGCATGCGTGCACATGTGAGTTTCAAGCCTCTGGGTCCAAAACTCAAACTGCATTCGGCCATGTAGGAGTCCAGAGGCATAACCATTATGCCATCTGCTGGTCCCCATCTTGTTTTTCATCTGTTCTGTGTAAATAAGATTCAGCTCTTTTTCTGACATGTTTTTATAATTCAGTGCTTTTTTTTTTAATCCAGAGACCTACCTTCATTACATATATGGCCTTTGCTCTCTTTAATATTTAATGGGGGGAGTAATACCCTTAGGAGAAAGCTTTAATAACTTTTGTCTTTTCTTCACTGTTTCTTTTGGTTTATGGTAGTCCAGACAAGGTGAAACATTGATCAAAAATAATAAGTGGTAAACATCTTTTTTTTTAATTATTTATTTATTATCACTATTTTTTTTTTTCAATTTTGACCAGCTAAAGATAGAGAGAGAGAAAACAAGCCACCAGGTCCAGAATTCAAACAATGGTCAGCCGTGTGGGAGTCCAGCACCTTTAACCACTATGTCACCTGCAGGCCCCAACTTTTTTTTTTTTTTAAGAGAGACTTTTCCTATAGGGTGCGTGCACTCACCAAAGAAATAGAAACAGAAAGCAAGAAATCATCCCCCCAGGGGAGATGGTCATGCCGTAATCCCTTTTCCTCTAGTGTTCTCTTGGTATTTGGGGCACGCATGCACACGACCCCCAGGCCGCCAAGTCTTGTCCTTGAACCATGGACAACTACTGGGAGTCTAGCAACGTAACCATTATGCCATCTGCTGGTCCCCAGTGGTGAACACTTTTAAAAAGAAATAAAAGATGAACCACTATGATGCATCTCAGAAAAGAATAAAAAACTTATCTTTTTGCCAAAGGACATGGGCACTCATCAGAGAGGAGAAAGCATACCTCAGTATGGTATGGTCATGCCACAATCCTTTTTCATCTTCTCCATTCAATCAGGATTCTCCTGGTGTGTTTTTTCAGGACATCATGGCCAAGACCTGAACTGTGATTGGATTGGCCATGTGGGATGCAGTTCCCAATGCACAGCACTTAACCACTATGCTACAGGGCCAGCCCTCCCACCCACGGTCGTTTTTTGTTTTTCTTTTTTTAGTTTATTTATATATTACTTTCAAGACATAGAGAGATAGCCCCCTTAAGAGTATCTTGACATTGCAGTCTTCCCCCCATTCAGCCAGCCCTGGATCATGGGCATGTGTGTGTCCATTGATCTCTGGACACAAACCTGAAACCTTTCCATATATGTCAGTTAGGCACAGCATCACATTTTACCACTGCACCACTGTCTGACCCCTCAGGGGGAAAAAAAAGTTTTGTTAAGGATTTTGCCATAGGGCA